CTTGTTTTGTGTGACATCCGATTGGAGCAATGCAGTGACAGTCGCCACCATTCTGCCTCCTGGTACCAAGTGACGCCATACAATTCTGTGTACTGCTATCACACGAGATTAGCGCGCGCACTATGGAGGCTTCTAGCGGCTTCGCTCGGGGGAGAAGTAAAGCTTCCACCTGATTGTAAATTCTGTGTACAAAGCGCAGAGAGGCCGATGTGACGATTACAGGCCCGGGCCGACAATCGCTCTGCCAATAGGGACGAGTCCCCCATCTGCATAATTATACACAACAGACGTGACACTCTGCACATAATTAGTGGTTCAAAAAACAGACTGAAAAACAAGCCGCCGTCTCCGCTCGGAGGGTCCAATAATGAATGCGCGAGGAGGAGAGAGTCCTTGGGGTAACTTAGCAACAAGCAGAGATGGTATCCGTCTCCCAGGCTGATCCGGTGACTGGGAATCATTTCACATTACAGCTCCGACAGCACGGTCCCCTCCGCCACCAAAGCACACAACCACGGCACGCAGACCCCCCAAAAAAACCAGCCTTGTACGTACCCAGCGATGTCTGGATCATGGCCCCGGATTTCTGCACTTCGTCGAATTTGGCAAAAATGACATTCAATCTGTAAACAGAAAGAGAAGCATGAGGGAGGCAGGACGGAGTGATGGCATGAACGCAGCTTCGCAGCCAGTGCACAGCTCCCTCTAGCAATGTTCTCTATACTCTGCACTACGAAGATCTGGTCTGGATTTTCTGAGCGGCTGCAGCAGCACGGGCACACTTCAGGAGAATAATGCCGTCCACCAGAGCTTAGCTGTACGAGAGCCTGCACGAGACGCTATTCCTGGCTGCCGACGCGGAGAAATAAAGCTGATTTTCCTCACTCCGCTAATTCTGGACTTCTCCAGCCGCCCCGCTCAAAGTGATTTATAAACAGAGAAGTCTCAACAATGTGAGGCGCTGACACTGGAGGAGGCAGAGATCCAGATTAGCAGGACAGCGTCACACAGAGCTCTGCAAGTACGCCAGGCTCGTTAAAGGGGAAGCGGCGCCCAAAATGAGATCCGCTCGGTGCTGCAAGATTTTTATTGTTATTGTACGAAGCAACTCTCCTAAACCTGCTGCCAATGGCTGACTCCTTTGTATACTGCAACTTACTGTGACACTAAGGCCTGGTTCACACCTGGTTCATTCCTACGCTCTGTAAAACGCTCAACATGTGATAACAAATGATTGCCTATGGGCATGGCTCCCACCCGGGCATTTTACAGCGCGTAGGAAACCGCTGCAAAACGCTCTACGCCCAAAGTAGTACAGGAGCTTCTTTGGGGCGTATTTGCCGCGCGTATCCATTGGGATACAGCCAGGTAGCCCTCGGAAACGCGTGCTAGTCGCGCTTTTTTTTAATATATATTCTATTCTATATAATATAGTTAAATCTTAAAATTCCTTTCAAGTCCCTGAACAGCAATGTATCTTATTTGTGCATCACTCGGCTGTAGATCCTCCAATCATCTCTGAATTGGTGCCGACACTGTCCTTCCTTCTGGAGGGGGGCTACGTCTGTTCCCCATGGTCCCTGTGTGTGTTGTAAAGTAGTCACCGCTCCAAGCTCCCCCCCCCCGGGATGGACTACAATCTCATGTTTAGTTTACTGCTTTGTATTGAGATTGTAGTCCATCCCGGGAGCAAGGTTGGAGCGGTGACTACTTTACAACACACACAGGCACCATGGGGAACAGAAGGAAGGACAGTGTCAGAGATGATTGGAGGATCTACAGCCGAGTGATACACAAATAAGATATATTGTTGTTCATAATTCGAGGACCTGAATGGATTTTTATGATTTAACTCGAGTTTTGTGTCACTTTAAACTACGACAAAAAGAAAAAACAAAACAGTTGTCACTAGACTGCTAATTGACTCCTTGTCCAAAAATTCAGGTTTAGGGGAAGAAAACAATTATGTTCTGTATTGCCATTATACCCATAAACCATCGGATTTGGGAGAATTGGAGAGGGTAGCTACCGGTTACATTTGTTGCTGTTATTTGGGGACTTCTATTGCTGTTAATGAGTACGAGTCTCCAGAGACTGAACTGACAGGGTGAGAGATTGGTTACATACATACAGGTAATCACATCTATGTCCGGCTGGTAAAGATCCACAAACCATTACAGAAGTCTCTGCAATCAACTGATAACAGCCGGCGCGGGAAATCCTTCACGGGGGACAATTATTCCGGGACGCTTGGCTAAGAGTCCCCGCTCACTTCCTCTTGTTTCTCAAGACAGAAAGTGAAAGAAATTCTCCCCAAGGGCACAGAGAACAAAAACAAACTAAATATAAATGGCGTTGTTGTTTCAGGCTCTCATGCTACATAGTGGTTAGTAAATCTGAAGGAGATCCTTTAAATGGCCTCACAGTCATAATATAGGAGGCCCATCAGGAGGGGAGACCCTGTCAGGGATGAGTAATAACCAGCAATGCTGCAGCCTCATGCTGCCCAGTATTTGGGGGCAATAGCCTGAGAAGACAGTAAACCGGAAGTAGGTGAACTCCAGCCAGACATCCCATCATGCATTGCCTCTGGGAGTGATGCCTGGGGCTGTCGCAGTCTTGCAATGTATAATGGGATTTGTAGCCCTGCAGTAGCTGGAGGGCCAGAGATTGCCTATACCTGGATTTTGTAAAACGTCAGTCATCAGGGTGAGATATATAATCAAAATATGTCATCACTGGCAGCATGAAAGAGTGCGCACCTGTCTGCAGGAGAGATAGAAGGGGGAAGTAAGAGGTTAAAGAGAGTGAGAGGAGGAGGGGAGGGGGGAGAGAGAAA